AACATTTCTACATTGTCATTCAGGTCCCACGACCCTGAATACTGACTGCCAAGCTTTCTACTGTGCTAAACAAAGCAAAACTAAACAAAAAGAAACGAAAGGCTATTTTGCTTTGAAAGTGGTGAGGGAAACATCTGGGGGTATTTCTGCTTTCCTCTAGAACTTGAAAGATTGTGTGCCCCTATAAAGGTCCAGTTTCTGATTTTGATTAACCAGGATTGAAATTAGAAGGAGATGGCAAACGGAAGCTTCAGGTGGCACAATTTGACATTTTTGAGGCACATTTTTTTTTCCTCAGGGAGGGTTTAGGGAATTGAGGGGTGCCACTGCAGATCCAAGATGGCTGCTTGTAGCCCATGGATTGCACTTCCCTGCCCCTGCCTTAAAACAAGGCATGTCCCCCTAACACCTTGATTACAAGTGGAGATAGGAGACTGTAGTGCCACTTCTAAATGAGGTATTTTAAAGGGGAGAAATGTGGCACCTGTGAGAAGTGAGGCCCCAGGTGGATTTAAGAGGTACCAGAGTGGCCCCGTGGCCATTGGAATTGCACTTCAGTCTGCTCTTCACAGGCCCATATTTGTGGCATTTCCATCTGTGTGCCTTTGTCCACAAGCATACTCTCACGGGGAGCTCTGTGCATAGGGCCTCTTATTTTCCCATTTAATAAGTGATATGGTATGCTGGTGATAAGGACTGTGTTATTAATTCATGCATGCATGCATGCACTCAGTTCGTATCCTGCTCCATTTACTCCGGGCGGTGTACAACACATAAAATAGAAAACAAAAATAAAAATAGAAACATTAAGAACAGCAACAATAATCCTAAAAAACAAACAAACAAAAACGTAGATGGCACTGAATAATCATACAAACCATAAAGTTGGGGCCGCCATGAAGAAGCCCTACCTCTTGTAGAGGATTTATGGGCTTCCCTCTGGGTGGCCACCCCTAGGAGCCTCAACTGGAATGATCTTGCGGGTCAGGCAGATGTTGGAAAGATGCGCCAACAAGTAAAATGTGGGCCCAAACTGTGGAGAGCTTTGTATATGAGTGTCAAAGCCTTGAACCTGCCGGGAGGCAGGCCAGAACGAGAGTGATGTGGTCAAATTTAATTGCACCCACTACCAGGCTGGCTGCTGCATTCTGGACCTGCTGAAGTCTCCGGATCAGGTTCAAGAGGAGCCCCATTTCAGAGAGCATTTCAGTAGTTAATCTGGGAGGTAACCAGGGCCTGCGCCGGAGTCCTGAGTGAGTCCTCATCTAGGTAGGGGTGAAGTTGGGTGATTAGCCTAAGCTGGTTAAAGGCTGATCTGGACACGGCTGCAATCTGGGACTCCCAAGAAAGAGCTGGGTCCAGAAGAATGGCCAAATTACGAACGTGGCCCCTAAACGGGAGGGCAATGCCATCCAGCCTAGGGACTATCCCGCACTTTGGAGGAACCCCCCCGGGAACAAAATCTCTGTCTTATCTGGGTTCAATCTGAGCCTGTTACCCTTGGTCCATTCCAGTATTGAAGCCAGGCAGTGCTGAAGCATCTGGATGAAATCCACTGCAGAGGTGGTAGGTTGTGTGGTAAGAGAAATAGAGTGGTGTGTCACATATACCTGTAGGATCACACCCTTATTTACATAATATTTGATAATTTCTCACTCATGTCAATATATCTTCACTTGCATCTACCAGCCAAACTTATATTTTTAAAAAAATCATTTATGATGTCACTTTTTATAGAATCACAGAGCTGGTCCTGATCAAAGGGCTACCAATGCAGGTGTGCCTCAACTTACAAACTTAATCCGTTTTGGAAGATGGTCGTTTCTGGGGATTGAACCTGGACCATGAACACATAGAAGAGATGCTCTGCTAAGCAAGTGGCTGGTAACTCATGTTTAGTAGGTGGTGACTCTTGCTCTGGGTTATAGTCTGAACACTAACAGAGATATCCAAAGTGCTGAACCTTTTTGAAGATAGAATTCAGCATGCTGGGTATCCTATCTAAAGTTCAGAGTCAAACCCTAAGCGGACTCATGATCCCTGCAAAATCAGAGTCAAACACTCTTGTGCAAATGCATTTGTCGAGCCTTTTGGAGTGGCCATCGCAATTTCAGTTCAAAACGAAGAACTTGGTTGCTTGATTGGAACACCTCTCCTCTTTTTAAACACACCTGCCAAGCTGAACGCCATAGTGGATTTTACTATGGATTTTAGCAGTTTAAGCTTAAAACTTGGGCTTCCGTTCGTCAGGGGTTTTGATGCATTCGAGGCTATTGAGTTCCAATGGGTTGAAGTGTGCCTAGATTTGAGTTGGATCGTGGTCTTGCTTTTTATAGCTGATCAAACACCTTTGTAGTATGCTTGACCTACATCTTCGGTTCCTTGATCCCCTTGCATATGTGAAGCAAATCTAGCTATTAACACTCGGCCTGGGTGTCTGAGTAAACACTGAATGTATAAATTCAATCTTGGCATCCTTTCCTCTTTTTATATATTTCTCCCACGGGGACTCCAACTGCAGACTGCATTGAAGCCATCATTAATCTATCAAGATTCTGTGTAGTCCTTCACAGAGCTGTGAAAGCATTCTCCCTGTTTGTTCTTTCCATGTTACAGCACATTGTTGTTGTTGTTTAGTCATTAAGTCATGTCTGACTCTTCGTGACCCCATGGACCAGAGCACGCCAGGCCCTCCTGTCTTCCACTGCCCCCCGCAGTTTGGTCAAATTCATGTCGGTCGCTTCGACGACACTGTCCAACCATCTCGTCCTCTGACATCCCCTTCTCCTCTTGCCTTCACGCTTCCCCATCTTCAGGGTCTTTTCCAGGGAACAGCACATAATGGAAGCCAAAATATGTGTAATTCTGCCTATTAATCAAAAATATAGGATCATATATAAAGTGGAGAACATTTCAGGGCTGACTGTTTGGCCAGTAGAAGCAAATGCTGCAAAAGAGGACCAAAAATGTGTCCCCAGCATTCCAAAACTGCAGGCCACTCTTTTGCCAATTGTCAATTACGTTTAGTAAACGTTATGCAAATTGAACAGTGCTATTAAAATAGATCTCTGTGCTGTGGCTCTTATATCATCCCACTGTCTTGCTTTTGGACTTCCTCTATTTTCCTTTGTGCCAAAAAGCGGTCGCCAAGCAAAGGTTATCTACAAATTTTCTCATGGGCAAATGTTCTACTACTTCTCAGTAGAATGCACTGAGGATCATGTCAAGAATGCATGCTTGCTCGCTTACTTGAAAGTATTTATATAGCACCTTTTCCTCTCATGTTTTTAAAAAAATAAAATACAACTTCGTATATATGATGGAAATTGGGAAAAGGGGGAAGGGGAAAGGGGAAAGCAAATAAGTTCTGGGATCAATTATTTTACAGTCACCTCCTCTACTTCCTAGCGATCAGGATGAGTGCTATTTTTGGTGTAATCAAAACAGGACTATCTAGGCAGTAGAACAGGGCTGGTCTGCAGGTGACTTATAAGCCACATATGGCCCTCACTTGTTTTTATATGCCTCCAGAACTAACACACCCCCTCCCATGTTTTTGTTTAAAATCTGGAGAATCCTGCTCCAGGAGGCATAGTTCTCTTAATGAAGGCACATGGCCCCTGCACCTTGTTCTGCTAGTTTTCTTTTTCTTTTAAAGAAACAAGGGTTCTTTGTCGTGGTGTATCAGGAGATTGCAGGGAACCCCAACATTTTTTGCTAGTACAAATATATATAAAGGGTGATTAGAAAGGGGTAGCGAGGTAAAAACTGTTCCAGTGCGCTTTTCTTAGGGAGCAAGAAAATAGAATCTTTTAAAAGCAGTATTACTGGGTTTCCCCTTTTATTTATTTAATAATTAAATGTATTCCCACCATCCAACCAACAAATTCAATGTCATGCAGCTGCTCCTCCCTCTTCGCTGTCTCCATTATCCTCTCAGCAACCTTGTGAGGTAGGTCAGGCTGAGAAACTGGGACTGATCCAAGGTCACCAGGTAAATGTTATGGCTCAGTGGGGGTGGGTGAAGCTGGATTTCCCAAGTCCTGTTCAGGGTTTTTACATCCCACTGGAAATACAGTGGCTCCTTTTATTTGACAGGATGATTTACTAATGAGAAATCTGACCACCCTGTAAAAACGGGAGCTACTTAACTTCAAGTTGACTACTGTGGCAGTCTAATTTCAACCCTTTAAAAAGCTCTTTCTCAGTGCGGATAAAAGCCCTTTATCAGTAGTCCTTTTGCTTTTGCACCTAGCTGCAGAAGCCTCTGCGCTGCAAGGTCAGAAGACCAGCCATCGTAAGATCAAATCCACGCAACAGAGTGAGCTCCCATCGCTTGTCCCAGCTCCTGCCAACCTAGCATTTCAAAAGCATGCAAATGCGAGTAGATAAATAGGTACCCCCACGATGGGAAGATAACGACGTTCTGTATCTAGTCACGCTGGTCATGTGACCATGGAAACTGTTTTTGGAGAAACACTGGCTCTACGACTTGGAGACGGGGATGAGCACCGCCCCCTAGAGTCGGACAAGACTGGACTAAATGTCAAGGGGAACCTTTACCTTTTACCTCAGCCCCACAATCCAAAGGACCGCAAGTCATTTTCTCTTTGTCTCTTCAGAATATTAATCTCTATGTAAATGTTAGTGGCAGCAAAATCCATCTGCATTTAGGCATAATAACAGGATGAGTTCAGCATTATATGACTTAAGGTTTTGGCAACCTTTGATTCTTCTTTTAAAGTCTTGCCAAACTTCTCCTTCCTATTAAGGTTAGATCATAATTGAAATTCTGCCAGGGAAAGAAAATGGTGTGTGTATCTTGCCAGTTATATTTCGGCCCTCCTTCCTTCTATTGGTCTCCTCTCAGTAGCGTCTCCTGAAATTTGATTATAGGATGAAATGGCTTGATTTGTTAAAAATGCTCTGCTGAATGTGTTTGAATTGCTCCTCGTGGATAATAACTGTGTCCTTTTCCACTTTGATCTTATGTTGTTCAGGGCTGCCCAGAAACTTAACTTGTCCTCGAAGAGAAAGAAACACCATGGACCTTTGCTGCCATCTCGCGATTTCTCCATCTATCCTACCAATTTCAGCGGCATCCTGCAGACGTGTCCTCCGTCAGCACCACCATGCCTTTTGAGAGCTGTGTCAAAAGTCAAAGACAACCCGGGGATCGGAAAGGTATTTGGAGATCTCTCATCTCTTAGTTTGCCTGCACTGTGGCTGTAAAAATTTCAGTAGAAATGTATAAAAGCTATCCTTCATTGAGACAGGATATCAGTGCTGTAGGAGAGCTAGGATCTGTAGGATGTTTTGATTGGCAGGGATGATGACATCACACACACCCCACTTTTTGCTCCTTCCTTTTCTGAAAAATACACACGCAACCCAACAAATGCTTCTTATTTTTAGAAGTCCAGGGAACCGGGAATGTTGGCAAGTGTTTGAGTCTGAGTCTCAAGTATGAGTCCAAGTCTTTGGCATCAAGTCCCAAGTCCGAGTCTTTGGCATCAAGTCTCAAGTCCAAGTCTTTGGCATCAAGTCCCAAGTCAGAGTCTTTGGCATCGTGTCCTGAGTTCCAAGGCCTAAGTCTGAGTCTCTAGTAAAAACAAACTTTTTTCCCTAGGATAAAAGGGAGTTGGTTCTGAGTTGAGAGTTAAATCCAAGTCATTGTAAAAAAACACAAAACACCCAAGTGGAGTTGAGTCAGGTCACCGGTCCGACTTAAGTCCAACTTGATAGCAAGTCCCGCAAATTGAGTTCCTGTCCCTGCAGGGAAGAAGACAGCAGCTATCATAATTTTGCAACATTTGAACAGAAAAGCAAACAAGCCCTTTTTTCAAATATGTGAGGACTCTTCTTAATACCAGCTTAAATTTATCGGTGAGGGGACAAAGGTGTGGTTGTTTTATACTCACATGTGTGAATGAGACAAGCAAAATGAGACAAACAAAACACCCAAGTGGAGTTGAGTCAGGTCACCGGTCCGACTTAAGTCCAACTTGATAGCAAGTCCCGCAAATTGAGTTCCTGTCCCTGCAGGGAAGAAGACAGCAGCTATCATAATTTTGCAACATTTGAACAGAAAAGCAAACAAGCCCTTTTTTCAAATATGTGAGGACTCTTCTTAATACCAGCTTAAATTTATCGGTGAGGGGACAAAGGTGTGGTTGTTTTATACTCACATGTGTGAATGAGACAAGCACATTTTTCAGGCAGTTGACTTGGGATTTTGACTCACTGGGCCAGAATCCTATTACATCGTTACAACAGTAGAACTCTTGCAGCGTAGATTTAATGGCGAATTGTCATGGGCATGTAGTGTGCTCCAGATGTGTTGACTTCATAACTTGTGGCCAATGTTCCTTCTAAGCCGTATGGGTGCACAGTGCTGCATCAGGTGCACGCAGCCGACCCAGTGTTTCTGCCAATTTGCTTCCGGTCATAGCCGGAACTCCACGTGCAGGTGATGGAGATGCCATGCAGTGCTCCAGAAAATTAGAGGGAACATTGCTTGTTGTGTTTGCTAACTATAGCATGTGTAACTAACAGGATTCTGTCTATTGTTATAATTACCAAACCCTTCAAGAAAGTGTAAGCTGACAGATAGCCTTATGGGCTGGTCTAGATAATTCCCTGGATTCCTCCAGGGTCAGTGAAACTCTGATCTGGCTCTGGAAAATTAGAGGGAACGTTGCTTGTTGTGTTGGCTAACTATAGCATGTGTAACTAACAGGATTCTGTCTATTGTTATAATTACCAAACCCTTCAAGAAAGTGTAAGCTGACAGATAGCCTTATGGGCTGGTCTAGATAATTCCCTGGATTCCTCCAGGGTCAGTGAAACTCTGATCTCATGGTTGGTGCTTCAGGGATGAATGTGATTTAGAGGAGTATTCTTAGGTGTTAACAACAGATCGTGGGGGGATAACTCCAACCCGTTCAGGTATGTGAACAACACCTAGTTGAAGATCAAGATTCAGGAAGTACAGGCCTTTACAGACCACATAAATGCAGTGGACCCAAATATCAAATTCATCAGGGAAGACACCAAAGACAACCACGGCTGGGTTTCCTGGACTGTGCAGTCATAATATGATCCAACAACAGCTTAGAAATAGAAAGCTACAGAAAACCTACACACACTGATCAATACCTGTGATTTAACTCTCATCACCCATTACAACACAAACTAGGGGTCATCAGGATGCTAAACCACAGAGCAAGAAACATCTCCACCTCCACAGACGCCAAGAAGAAGGAAGATGGACATCTGAGGACAGCCCTTAAGGCCTGTGGATATCCAAAATGGGCCTTTCACAAGGCAGTGGAACAACAGAACAGTCTGAGCCCCAGAGCTGACGGAAGAACTTGGTCATTCTTTACATGCCAGGTGTGTCTGAAAAGCTCAAAAGGACTTTTGGTGAACACCACATGTCCATGCACTTCAAATCCATGAACACACTAAGCAGAGACTGGTCCACCCAAAATACCGGACACCAGAACACAACAGGGGCCATATAGTATATGTGGTCCAATGCAAAGAGGAGTGTTTAGAGCTCTACATTAGAGAAACCAAACAGCCACTAAAGAGGAGAATGTCCCAGCACAGGAGGGGCAATGTCTCAGGACCACGATCCACAGTGTTCCTTCATTTGAAGGACAAAGGAGGCTCATTTTATGACCAAGATGTACTCATTTTGGACTGAGAAAATAGGTGATTTGAGAGAGGGGTCAGGGAGGCCATACATGTGCATATAGAAAATCCCTCATTCAACAGGGGTCGAGGCCTTAGATACAAACTGTCTCCTATTTATCATGCTGCCCTTTAACAACTGCTAACGATCCATGATAATGGGTGGAAAAGGACTGCAGACAACTGTTAACGATCCATGATAATGGGTGGAGAAGGACTGCAGAAGTGGGATTATCCCTCACCCCCAGCCTTTTGTCCTTCTAACAACCCTGTTCAGACCAGGCGGAAGTGAAATCAAAGTGAAGGATATATCACTCCTACCAGATCTCCTCAAACTGAAGAAGCTACTGTACTTGAATGAGTTGTGAAATGTTTCGACCTAAGAAGAAGTCCAGTTGCCATGGCTCAGCTTTCAGATAATCTCACCTGAATGACTGACAATCTTCATAGATAAGCAGATCATAGAATTTGGTCCTAAGTAAAACAATTCTGAAGTGGTTTCTTATAAGGGTTGTGTTTTGCGGGTGAAATTCTGAAGCACTTAATTCATATTCCCAAGAATTGGTAAGCCTATTATACAGGTTTTGAATTCTTAATTATATAGTTATTGTGAATTTCCATTTCAGGCAGGTGCTAAAGTACCAAGGAGAGTTTCAAGTGAATCCCTACTCAGTGATCATACACATTAATATGGAGGTCAAGAAGCCTGAATACTACTGATATTCTCTATCACATTCTCTGCACGATTGGGCAGTTTTTAGAGGACAAAGGAAGACAGCACAGCTTGGACCAAACTAATAACACAAAGGATGGGCAGTTTTCTTCTTTTGAGATTCAGAAAGACAGAAGAGAAAAATGAAACAAAAGGCTAATTTGCTGTATTTATAACATGTCTAAAAAGTTTCTCATCTGATGAGAAAAGTGGTAGGGCTGAGACACCCAGTGAGCATCTGAGAAGGAATAGAGGACGTTCAGGAGCATTATTCTGAATTATGGGCTCCCCCATTTTGGGAAGCTCCTCTTATATGACAATGCTTCCCAACCTTGGATAACCCAGGTGTTCTTGGACTGCAACTCCCAGAAACCCTGGGCAATATAGCTAGTAGTGAAGGCTTCTGGGAGTTGCAGTCCAAGAGCAACTCACTGGAATTGGGATCCCTGGATCATGTTCATGACTCAGGTTTTCCCACTAGCCGAAGGGTTTCTCCAGGTGTCCATGGTTTGGTGTGGAGCAGTTGCCATAGTGTGTAGATTTCTAATCCTGGTTTATTTTAGAGTTTATTGATGCAGGGGAATGAGGGATAGTGGCCCCAGCTTCATGTGTGGCATAAAACAAGGACAAGATCATACAGCTTGCTATTTTCAACTGCAGCTAGAATCCTACTTTGCTATACCTTCTTTAGTTGACTCTGGAAGCATATATGCAGGCAAAAAAAAAAAAACAAGTAGGGAGATTATTTAGTTTGAGTGTGGAATATAAACATGTGTTATTCTTTAACAAATTAGGTCCCAGTTGATTAGATTATTGTCAGTCACAAGATTTCTCCCCCTCCCTCTTGTGAAATAATGTCTCATTTTTTAAAAAAAAAATCTAATAAAGGAGCAGAAGAACGATAGAAGCATATTACAACTTGTAAGGATTTCCCCCCAGTGTATGTATCACCAAATTACCTTGTCAGATGAAAGCTGCTTCAATGATTGAGCTAGAGAAAAGGTTACTGCATTAAATTTCCAAATGGAGTTCAGAGATAGCTAGGAAAAGAAGAATATAAAATTTTAAGCTCAGTTTTGGCAAAATTAATTTGTGGAATCCAAGAGCTGGAAAAAGCTGATTTAGCGGATGAAACTCCCAACTTCTGGCTGCACATCCAGATAGCTAAACCAGTGGTTCTTAACCTTAAGATAGCTAGGAAAAAAAGAATATAAAATGTTAAAATTTTAAGCTCAGTTTTGGAAAAATTAATTTATGGAATCCAAGAGCTGGAAAAAGCTGATTTAGCTGATGAAACTCCCAACTTCTGGCTGCACAGCCAGATAGCTAAACCACTGAGCTATCCAGCAGTTCACGGCCATGCTTGGCTTGCAAAAGAAAAAATCATGGAAGGATTTGGTTATGGTTCTCCTGTTCCCTGTCCACTTGATCCAGGAGCGGCTGGAGCAGTAAAGATGCTTTCTCTTGAAACCAAGCAGACTCCTTCTTTGGAGATATTGCTCTCTCTTTTTGAGTGCATTTCCCATAATTTTGGAAGCAGCATGGCTACTGCCCCATGCTGGCGATGGCTTTTTAGAGTTGTGGTCCAGGAAAGTTAATTTTTACAGCTTTGAGGACTTTTTTTTTTTTTTTTGCCTTGGGAGGGAAAAATGTAAAGAAATGGAAAAATGCTTTAGGACATCATTGCTTAAGACATTGTTTCTCTTTGGAGTTGCTCTTGGCTTCAACTACAATTTATTTTCATGTGTTCACTCATGAGATTCTCCAGTTTAAG